CCAGCAGAGGGACCAGGGGCCTGGAAGACACCCAGCCTTCAGACACGCGCCTACGGAGGGGCCCACGAGGTGCCAAGGTGCCCAGGCAAAGGGTCAAATTGGCCTCCTGCTGACCAGACCAGAGGGACCTCAGACCCTAAAGGGTCCCTCCCACCTCTCCTTCCCCCACAGGGCGGGGCCTGGGAGCCAGGGTAGGTAAGTGCAAGGCTCTCAGGGGCCCAGACCACCCTGGACATTGCGATGGTGAGGGCAAAAGGGAGGAGGGGCCTCCCAGGCACCCAAAGAGTCGGGGGCTGCCCCCTAAAAGGCAGACCCTCCCCTACCCAGCACACCGGTACTTTGGGCCCTCATGGTCTGGCCCACTGTCCAGCCAAGCACAGTGCACTGGACACGGGTGTTCAGGCCCCTGTGTGTCTCCTTCCCTTGACTCTCCCTGACCACATGGCCCACCTCGGATACCTCCCTCATGCCAGCTGGCTCACCTGCAGGGCACTCCCTCCAAGAAGGGGCGTGTGCGTGTGCGTGCGTGCGTGCGTGCGTGCGTGTGTGTGTGTGTGTGTGTGTTATGTGTATGTGTGTGGTGTGTGAGTGTGTATGTATGTGTGGTGTGTGTTATGTGTATGTATCTGTGGTGTGCACATGTGTAGGTGCGTGAATGTGTGTGCATGAGGTTGTTATGTGTGTATGCAGTTGTTATGTGTGTGTGCGCATGTGTGTGTGTATGTTTGGTGTGTGTGTGTGTATTTGCGCGCATGTGTGAGTGTGTGCGTGTATGTGTTGTGTTTATGGCAGGGGTGGGGTGGGCAGAGTGACTCTCAGATAGCCCCCCAGCCCCCGGAGCAGAGGGTCAGTGAGAAGGCCTGTCAGGAGGTACGTTTGGCCGGTCACTGCAGGGAGAGCAGACAGGCTGGGAGCCTGGACCTTGGCCAGGGGCCATGAGAATCATGGGAGGCATTTGAGCAGCGAAAGGACATGGATTCAGCCAAGAGGTGAGGCCACCAAGGACACCCCACTGCCTGCCCCTGGCCCTGCCCCCGCACCTGTCCAAGGGCTGAGCCCCTCACCTCAGCCAACTCCACAGTCTCCTTCACACCAGCCCAGGCCTGGCTTAGGAGAAGGAGGCTAGCATGATGGGCTTGCTTGGGAGGGAGTGGTTTCAGGGGAGGGAATGGCATGGGAAGGGCTGGCAGGAGGAACCTGGGGGTGGGCAAAGGGCTGCCCACTCTCAGCCACCTCTGGGAACTGAGTGGGAGGCTGGTTTCACTGAGTCCAAGGGCTGTCCCAGGCCCAGCCCCAATGGCCTTGTCCCTGCAGAGGCCCTGACCAGGGGACAGAGGATGCTTCTCAGGGGTTCCTCCGGACACCCCATGAGAACCCCAGCCTCCTCCTGTTTCTCCAAGGCTCCCAGGAATCAGTACCCTCCCACCAAAGCCTCCTGCTCCTCCCCACAGTCTGGGTCCAGCAGCCCCTCTGGCAGGATCAGGACCCTGAGGCAGCACAGTGCCAATCCCCCAGCCCCAGCCCTCCTTGAGCCCTGGCCCTTCCTTCTGTGTGCACCAGGGCAAAGTTACAAAGTGGGAGGGGCCTTGGGGGTAGGGGCAGGCCCAGGTTGGGCACACCCTGTCTGCATACTGAGGACCCTAGCAGGGCAGCACGGCCCCTCACTGAGAGCCAGGGTCCCCCAAAAGCTGCTGGAAAAGGAGAAGGCAGCTTCTGGCCCCCTGACTCTCAACCCTGCCTGCATGGCCCCAGGGAACAGCTAGGTCCTATTGGGGCTGTGGGCACCCTACCCAGTACCATGCCCACCCTCAGTCCCAGGTGGAGCCCACGTGGGCACGCGGCGCGGGGCGCAAGGTGCAGGCTGGGCGCAGGTGGGGAGCCCTGGCGTGGACTTACCTGCATGGTGGCAGGTCTTGCTGGGAGCGCTGGCGGACCTCACTGCAGCTGCTGGCGGCTGGCGTCCTACCCGACTTCCGCGTGGGACTCACTCCTCCCTCTCTCCTCGTCCCCGCCCCCTCCCGTGCCACCCAGGCGCAGCCGGGGAGGAGGAGCGTCCCCAAGCCAGGTAAGCCTTGCAGTCACCTGGCAAGTCTCCAGAACCTAATGGGGCGGATTGCCCAGAACAGAATGTAAGCTAGGGGGCGGGAGGGGAGTCCCAGGGTCAACAGCCTCCTTGAGGAGTCGCTGCCAAGCCCACCTGTAACCTGGGCCTGTCCCTTAACAGAGGAAGTGGGATTTGATTGACACCTGACCTAGGTTGTGGTCCTTGTGGCTGAGCTGGGGAGAGGTCGCCTTATAGCAGCGACACCCACCCAGATATCTCAGGTTCTTGTGTGCCCACCCCCAACACCGCGGCCACTGCTGGGATCCAGCCCAGGATACCCACCTAGGCCCCAGTTGGCCCCTGGCTCACCGCTGCAGGTAGGGCCCAGTCTGAGTCCCAGGGACTCTGTGGGCCAGCAGGGCGCGGAGCTTGTGGGTTTGTGGACTGTGATGCTTTGCAGGAGTGGATAGCCTTGTCTTCCCCTCCGCGGACTGGCTGGGGTTCTGCTCCGCCGCGGAGCAGGGGAGCCCTGGCAGCTCAGGGTTTAGGGAGGGACTGCTCACCCAGGGTCAGCAACGGTGAAACCGTCAGATGTTCCCAGGGAGGAAGGGAGGCTTGCTACTCCTGCAAAGAGTTCTGAAAGAGCAGACGGTGCCCTGACCAGGAAGGAATCCTCGGTCACTCCTGGGCCTGCCACTTTCTGAACACGCCCAGAATCATGGTGTTGTCTATGAGTTCAGGGTGACCATCGCCAAGGATGGTGGAGCCCAGAGGGGAGGGAGAGAGCATGCATGGGCGGGAGGGCTGGTTCCAATGGGTGAGAAGTCTGGACCTCCAGCTCAGACCAATCAAAGGAGCCTGGGTGGCATCCTGGACTCTGAATGGAGCTGCTCACGGTGAGGTCAGTGGTTTGAAACCCCCCAGCCGCCCTGCAGGAGAAAGAGGCTGTTATCTAAGGGAGGAGCCAACTGAGTCCACAGGGAAGAAGCACACCAGCATGTGTGATCCAAAGACGTCAAGAACAAATTTCAAATATGCCAGAGGGAAAAGTATCAGTGCCCAAATTGGGAACACCCAGTTTGTAGAGGGCGATGGAGGACACTGGGGGCCCCAAACCGTCGGCAGAGTATCAAGTCAGATGAAGACCATGGCAGGCCCCCCAGCCACAGGCGAGGGTCTCAACAGCTTTTCTATCCGATAGCGAGCATTGGCATCGTGATTAGACTGGATACGCTGTCAGTTGACCTCCCCCTTGACCCTACCTGAAATTCTCCTAGGTATAAATATTTCTTGCTTGCTCTCTGATAAACATTTCCTCCCTGGCCTTTTCAATATTCGTGGTGATCTTTTCTTACTCATTCATTGGATGTTTATCTCTTCATTATTATCATTGTATCCTTACCACTCTATTTTGGTTTTGTTTCTCATTGTGTCTCTGGGGTTTCCAGTGTATGAAGCTCAGAGGAGTGATGCACAGACACAGGGTCCCTTGCCAGGGATTCTAGGGCCGTTTTGGAAGCTGGAGATGGGAGGAGGGGCTTGGGGGAGCAAACGATGTATGTCGGAGGCGGAGGGAGCCCTAGAGCTGATGGTGATTACAGAACTCATTTTGAAAGCAATTTAACGGCACGGGGATGTTCTAAAACTTATTGTGGTGAAGAGTGTACAACTCTTCTTGATATGATTGAAAGATTGAATTGTGTGATATGTGGACTAAGGGCCAATAAAACTATTTATCAAAAAAAAGAAGAAGAACGGGAGGAGGAGGAGGAGGCTTTCGCTCCCATAAACACGTAAAGTCTCAGAAAACCCAAGGGGCAGTTGGACCCTATCCATAGCGCACAATAAGTCAAAATTGGGTCGAGCGCACGGAGTACGGGTTTTGGTTTTGTGGTAACTATGGGCCGGGGGCTCAGACTGGTAATGAGGCCACTGTTCCCATGGTGACATTAGACCAGGAGCTCTGCCACTGCTGCGACCGTTGCCACTGTAGTGTCTCCCTTCCACATCAGCCTCTTGCCCTCAGAAGGATCTGGGTGTAGCGGGGGCAGAGCCCCAGAGTGAAACAGTGGGGGGGCTCCTCCCACCCGAAGCCATGTGAAGGACCAAGCTCTACTGGCCTGATGCTGCCTGAACAACTCCGGGGGAGGGGCCCAGGAGAAGGTTCTGGTCTGCATCAGGTGCACACCGGGAGGTGAGGGCACCCAGGGAGTTGACAGGTCAGGAGCAGCCATCACATCAGATGGGGTCTGGGAGCACCCATGGCATCCGGGGGGGGGCAGTAGCACCCATGGCACCCTGGGCAGGGGGCACCCACAGCTCCCCAGGGGTGGGGAGCACCACTGTGCCCTGGTTCAGACCAAGGCTGGAATGTATCCTGGGTGCCAGGTGTTGGCAGAGCCACCGCCGTCCTGTGCGATCCACCCCGTGGCTGGTCTCCTGGGCCTAAATTCTGAGTGGTATGGGCCATAGAGGCAGTTCTGAGGGACCCAGTGCAGTGCGTGGGCAGGCAGGGGAAACCCCAAAGGGGGTCGGTTTCAACCAGTGGGTCCTTCCTCTTCCCCCACGTGGCCCCACCCCAGCGCCCACAGTGGTTGCCAGAGTCCCTGCATCACGTCTGCCTTCCAGCAGGAGGAGCACAGGGTGGCAGTGGGCTCCCCAACCTTGAAGGACGCCTTGCAGAACTTGCACGTGATGGGTTCCCTGCACTCTGGGCTCAGAGCCCTCCTTCAGCTCCTAGGATGGGGAACCACCGGCTCTCTCCAAGGAGCAGCTGCTCTGGGTGAGCACTGAGGTTCTGATAAGGGGGTGTAGGGGAGGGAGGACACTGGGGCTGCAGCAGGCTCAGCGACCAGACTGAAGGGGGGCTCCAAAACAATGGGGTCTGCCACAGGAGCACCCCAGCCACCCACCTTTCCCCAGGCGGCTCCTCCAGCCTCCAAGGCCACCTGCCCAGGTCTCCCCATTTGCATTTTGTTATGCTAACAGATCCCAGAGCAGAGCTGGGGATTACCCCCCTCAGGTGTCACTCGCCCCGTGTGCACCCTGCGCCTGCTCCAGTCTTTGCTCCACAGGTCTGACTGCAAAGCCACAAGAGGACTGAAAGTACCATCGATTGCCAAAAGGACAAACCCATATGCCTTAGAAGAAGTTGGGCCAGAGTATCCTTAGAGGCAAGAATGCCGAGACTTCACCTTACATGCTTCACACCTGTTGTCAGCAGAGACCTGTCCCTGGAGAAGGACATCGCGCTTGGTAACGCTGAGGGACTGGGGAGACGAGAAAGGCCTCCCATGAGAAGACTGACGCCGCCGTGCTGCAACAACGGCCGGGACGATTGGGAGCGGGCCGTGTCCTGTGCACAGGGCCGCGATAGGTCAGCACCTACAACAAGAGCTCCCACGAGTGCGGGTGGTGGCTACACGTCAGATGAAACCTTGAGAACCTCCATCCTTCCTCCCGTTACCCTGATGTTGGCCATCGGTTCGAGTGTGAAGATTTTTGGTTTCTTTTTCCCCTCAAGTTTCTTTATCTTAAGGTATAATCCATGCAAAAAGCTAAACTCTCTGATCTTCCTCAGCAACTGCTTCAAGTGCTTTGCATGTCGGCAGCAAGGCTCTCATCGGCATGTCGGAGGTTGTTCACGACCTTCTTCCAATCCTGAGGCTGTGTGCTTCACCAATACAATCAGTGGCTCAGAGTCTGTTTCCCCATGTACAGATTGAACACGCATGATGGATGAGTACAACCATGACACTCCCTCCCCGGATTTTAAACCAGGCAGTGTTTCCTTGGTCCTGGTGCAGGTCCTTCTGAACACAGCTACGTGTTCTAGCGTCGGCCTCCTTTGGATACTAGTAAATCATGGGGGCACATCGCTCTGGTATTCTCTGCCTTCAGCAATGAGATCCCTTATTCCACGTCCTCCTCTGAATCGGGTCTGCACCTAGCAGCTCCCGTCGATGTAGTGCTGCAACCATGTTTGCATGATCTTCAGCAACATGGTATTACCATGGGAGATGAATAATTTCATTCAATAATCCCACGTTCTGCCGGGCCATCTGTGTTTGTGATGGCCCCTCAGGGATCTCTTCCAGTTGGATGCTTCCAGCAGCAGCAGTCCGGAGACACTTGTCCAGTCAGTGGCGTGGGGGCTCTGGAGTGCACTCCCCGCTACAGCGGTAACCTCTCAGCTGAAACAACAGTCATTGTGTTCAGGGGAGAGACTCCCTTCCCAGGGTATCTTTGAAAGCACTTGCCACCAGCTGCTTAAGCAATCTCACTGCTCTAGAGCCGATTGTGACCCAGAGCCAGCCCTGGTGGCCTAGTGGTGATGCGCTGACTTGCTACATGGAAGGTACGCAGTTCGAAAACACCAGCCACCTCTGCAGGAGAAAGACGAGGCTCTGCTCCAGTAAAGAGGGCAGTGTTGGAAACTGCAGGGGCAGGTCCACCCCACCCTGCGGAGTCCCTGTCTGTGGAATCCGTTTGATGGCAGTGCCCTGGGTGTTTCACCCTGAAGGCCATTCCCCGAGGTTCTCAGACAGCCAGACTCTGAGGGCAAGCCACGCTCGCCTGACCTTTGACCTGCCGCCTGTCCCTCAGCGAAGCGATCGTCCCTTTGTCTCTGGCTTTCCCTGGTAAGGCTCGAACTTGCCTTTGCTGTTGGGTCCTGCCTCGCTCCAGAGCGCTGGAGCTTCCGACAGCAAGTGCAGACGGAGGAGGACGGTCAGAGACTGCCCGCCCCAGCCCAGGTCCCCCCACTGACCTCGGGGCAGCGCGGCCTTGCCGCTCGCCCACCTGAGACAAAGCCCCTGCATCTTCCTAGACACGGTCACCCCGCTCCTTCGCCCGCTGGACGCTGCCCATGCAGCGCGCGTGCCCCCCCACGAGTGCCCCAGGGCGAGGCGGCAGGTCAGCAGGTGCAGGCCAGACCAGGGCCAGGCCAAGGCCACTCACGCAGCAGGGCAGGGTTCAGGGGAGAGGCCCGAGCTCCCTGGGAGAGGAGTGGGCGCAGGCGCCTGACCTTGATCCGTTTCGGTTTCCTGCTTTCTGAGGAAGGACAGGAGTGGAATCTACCTCTGTGCGGCCCAAAGGAGTGGCCACTCTGAACTCAGGCTAGCGCGAAAGGGCCCGGCTGTGGGGAAGCTGTCCCGCCCTTCGCCGGCCAGACCCCGCCCTGTCAGGCCCCGCCCTTCGCCGGCCAGGGCCTGCCCCTCGCTCCGCCCCGCACACCAGCTAGGTGCTGCTGCTTCTGGAGGAAGATTCAGGTTGCAATCAGAGGGAAACATGCAGAGCCCACAAACCTTCCAAGACCATGGGACCCTGCGGGCCACATACCAGACAGGACTCAAGAAGAGGGCAACGCCCAGGCCTGCGGGGCAGAGACTGACCTTCCCTGGGGCCGCTTCCTGCTCCTGGTCCAGCATTGCCACCCCAGGCCCTGGCAGACGGGTCCCTTTGGTCACTAGGCATTGGCCACTGATGTGGGGCCTTCATGGCATCCCACTCCTAGTGCACTTGGGGACAGAGGCCTCCCCTTCTCACCCCCTCACCACAGGGCTACCCCAGTGCGCTGGGCCTAGGGACAGGTAGAGGAGGGCAGGCCTACTGCAAGCACATCGGAGGCCCCCACCCCAGTCGGGGCCCATCCCCAGGGCTGGCTGCTCTGGGAGCCCCAGCAAGTCCATCATGTGAGTGTCTATGGAGTGCAGTACAGGCCCGTGCATGCTTCTGCAAATCGGGATCCAATCTTGCAACATCACTTTTTGAAGAGATTCTCTCTTCCCTACCTCACGTATTTAGGCCTTTGTGAAAAATCAGTTGTCTGAAGGTGCATAGGGTTAGCCGTGGGTTCTCTGTTCTGATCTATAATCTACTTGCCTTTCCTCGGTCCAGTACCAGGCTAGCATGACCCCCCTGACGGCAAAATAGCCTTTGAAGTCAGGAAGTCAGAGGCATCCAAATTTTTTCTTTCTTTTTAGGACGAATTTTGGTCACCTGGGTTCTGTCCTTTCAATATAAAGAGGGTGATTAATTTTCCCATTTCTTTGAAGAACGATGTTGGGTTCTAGGTTAGAATTATGTATTTGTACATTGCTTTGGGTGGTATTGACTATATTAAGTCTTCCTGTCCATGAATAGGGAAAATTCTCTCATTTATCTAGGTTTCTTTTAATTTCCCCACCTCTTGTCTGCCTGTTTGTTGAACAGTGGTGTCTTATATGTTGCTATGATACTGGAAACCATGTCACTGTTATTACTAATACCAGCAGGGTCACCTAAAGTGAGCAGGTAACAGCAGAACTTCCAGACAAAGAAGGAACTGGCTGCCCTTTTCTGAATAATCAGTGGCCAATAACACAGAAGGGCAGAGGGATAAATGGCTCAGCGAGCCTCGCCTTTCTTGTCTCTTGCTCTTTGATCATCAGACCAGTGTGCAGCTGCCTTGCTTGTTCTGTGCCTCAATTTGCAAGCTACACTACCTGTGGGACACCTAACCCATGGACTGTGTCGCTGTAATTTGAGGTTCCTTCAAGACCTGCTTCGCCACACCATTGGAATTTACATCACTTGAGCTGGGGACTGTCAGGCCCTGTCATCTGGCTGACTGTTGTGACTTGCCCTGCTGTTTGCTGCCTGTGCCCAGATAGCCTGAACTGCTCTACAGAGGACTACCCTGCGGCCCTCAAGACTTGAAGGACTGCCAGTGTCTCACAACTGTCACATGGGAGTGAGTTACACTGAGCCATTTGTATTGCTTTATAATTTAACTGTTTATTTCTTGTGTTGTACATCTATCTATCTGTGTATGTATATATAGAATTATTAGTGATCTGGTTTTGTCTCTAGAGAACCATGTCTAACACAATCAGCTACTGAAAAGCTTGTGAAGAGAAGAACATTGTTGGAGCCTGGAAACCTCATGCGTAGCCGGGGAACACTGGTACACATGGCGCTGGAAGATGAGCCCCTCAGGTGTGCAGGCACTCACAATACGACTGAGGGAGAGTGGCCTCCTCAAAGTAGAGTCTACCATAGTGACAAGCATGGGTGAAGCTCTCTGAACCTTCATTTGCCAATGGAACAGGGCTCTCAGGGAGGAGGATAAATAGCCGCAGGCCTACATTAATAATGGCAACTTGAAATGCCCTAAATGTGGATCTCAGGAAGCTTAAAGTCATGGAAAAGGAGGTGGAGCATATGAAGATCGATACCTTGGGCATTTGTGAGTTGGCATGGACTGGTTTGAAGAAAACCATCCTATAGTTTACTATGCTGGGAGAGACAAATTCAAGAGGAACGGCATAGAATTCATCCTCAAGGGTAACTTATGACAAAACTATAATAATTTATGAACTATGAAGGGTTTATGAGGGAGGGGTGGAGGGAGGGAGGGGGAAAATGAGCAACTGATATTAGGGGCTAGAGTGGGAGGCAAATGTTTTGAGAATGATGAGGGCAATAAATGTGCATATGTGCTTGAAACAATGGATGGATGGATGGGTTGTGATGAGAATTGTACGAGCCCCCAATAAAATAATAAATTAAAAAAAAAGAATTCATCCTCAAAGAGAACATTTCAGGATCTATCATATGATAGGATAGTGTCTAACCACAAATGAGAAAGTCCAGTCAATACAATTATTGTTCAAATTTGCACAGCAACCACTGAAGCTTGTAATGAGAAATTGAAGAATTCTACCAATATTTTCTATCTGAAATTGACCAAACATGCAATCAGGATGCGCTGATCATTTATGGAGATCGGAATGCAAAAGTTAGAAGCAAAGAGCAAGGAAGAGTTTTTCCAGAGGCACTTGACCTTCCTCACACCTTGTCTATCTGCATATCCCCAAGAGATGGGGGACACCTTGAGAAGCACCCGAGCTGTGTGGCCCTTGCATGGCTGGACTCTAGCTGGGGGTGACATTTGACGTTAAAGCCAGGCCAGCTGGTTGCCCCAAGGGTGGGGATACCCTTAATGGGATGTCTGTGGGAATGACCCCTCCCTTGGGCAGTGGGTGCCGCCCTGGATCTGGGGCCCATGGCCTGCCTAGAGAGGTGCCCCCAGAGCCTGCCTAGCTACCCTGGGCTGCCCACGTGGGGCAGCTGCTGGATTAACTGGCCTCCATGTTCCATGGGCTGCTGATGGCACTGTGTCTAGGCTGCTGGGTGAGGCGCCCTCTGAAGCCCGGCGTTTGTGGTGCTGGAAACCTCGCTGGCAGAAAGGCTTCCCCTGTCAGGACCTGGGAGGAGCTTCTCAAAGTGCCTGGGGAAGGGAGTGATGGGATATTGGCTCATTTTCCACGAACCTCCTGAAGCCTCGCTGCGAGGACACGGTGATCGAGATGACCTGGCCACCCGAGGCCATGAGACACAGATCTGACAGTGACCCAAACACAGTAAGTCAAGGAGCAAAGGCTTTTACTACAAAAACCAAACCTGGTCTATGCATAGTTCACACCACAGTCCAAAAATGCCCTCCGAGGCCGGGGAAATGCCACTCCCAGGCAGTCCCTTTGTTGCGTGCTAAGCCCGGGAGCTTAATCCAGCATACCACCAGGGCACATTACAGGCTCCCAGTGCACCCACCCCCCACATACAAGACCCTGAAAGACTTCCCTAGTACCTGGACCTCACCAGCCCTCGCCCCCACATCCACAGGGCTTCCCAGGTCCCCTCCCCACAGATACTCAACAGGGGGCCGCAGCTGCTAAGGTGCGCAATGCCTTCTCCGGGCCCCTACACAGCTGTGCTCTTGGGGCAGGAGCTGCACGCCGAGGGGAACTGTGGCCCCCCAGACTGTTGCCTGTGTGCCTGGTACTCCATCTTCTTCTGGACCCTCTTGAACTTGATGCTGAGAACACCGTTTTTCATTTCTGGCAGGAACCAGGCAGCAATGAGCTTGATGCACAAGGCCACGTGCTGTGGGTCAGGAGTCCAGAGGGGCTTTCGGGTCAGGGTGGAGGGCTCCAGGGAGAGCTGCCCCACCCCACCCCAGGACCCCAGCCCAGAGTCCTGGCCCACCTCGAAGAGGATGAGGAAGACCAGTCTGATGGCCAGAAGGAACCAGAACTTCTTGGAGAGGCTGTAGTGCTCCTTGTGGCCATTGCGGTAATCCCGGTACCTGGGGTGGGAGGAGCCTCCAGGATCAGAAGCTCAGCACTGACTCCAGGGCAGTGAGTTTGGTTTGGGGTTTTATGTGTTATTGTGTAGTGGTTTCACTGGGCTGCTACCTCAAGGTTAGCAGTTCAAATCCACCAGTTGCTGCTTGGGAGAAAGACAGAGCTTTCTACATTCCTGTCTTGGAAACTCACAGGGCTGTTCTGAGTCTGCACTGACTCCATGACAGGGAGTGTGGTTTGGGTGGGGTGGGGAGGAGCTGGGCAGAAGTCAGAGGCTCAAAGGGCAGGGCAGGGGGCAGGGGAGCAAGGGGGCAGGGGCTCCCACCTGCACTCAGTCACAGTCTCCCAGCTCTCCGCCTGCAGAGGTCTCTCGAAGTCCTTGATTTGGAACACTGACAGACTGTGGTTGACATAGCCAGTGAGGCAGCTGGGGGCAGAGAGGAGCGGGGGACAGGCAGGGAGGAGCTGGGGACAGGCAGGTTGAGTGCCAACTCAACAGGGGCCCCTGCCAGGCATTGCCAGCCCCCCTGGGGCCCTGAGCAACTTTGATGTAAGGAACACCAGCCCAGAGCCCAAGTCAGGGTGGGGCATACCTCAGACCACCTCCCCATTCCTCTCCTGAAAAGCAGCCCCCTGGAGAGATGGCCGTCCCACACATGGGGACAGTGCCTCATTCCCAGAGGTGACCCTGTGGGTGGTGGGGCCCCCAGAGCTCTGGTCCACAGGGGCGGAATCCTCATGGTCAGAGCTCGGTGAGGACCCCATAAAGGCAACAGCTTGCAGGGCAGGGGCCCTGGAAGCAATGGGTCTGCGACCTGAACCCCCCTCTCCCAGGGCCCCAGATACCAGCCCTGCTCGAGCCTCAGGTGGCCTGCAAGGACAGAGCTTCTTACTCCACGGCATGGTGGTCCTTCAACCCGCATGGGCCATAGTGGTACTTATAAACCACTCTTGGGATGAACTCCGAGGTGAAGGCCATGACCAGCCCATTGGAGATGACCGCAAGCACACCAATGGTCTCCAGCACCTGCAGCCACGTCCCTGCCAGAGCAGTGGCTTGTGGGGCCCTTCCCCAGGCTGGGAGACCAAGACCCCTCTACCCAAGGGCAGTGCTGGCGATGTGGGACTAGGGCAGGAAGTCCATCTATGCCACAACCTGTTTGCCCCGCCCCCATCCCCACCCCCGCCCACCAGGCTCTTTCTCCCAACTTGGACAGAGAGGGTCTTCCAACCCCCACCTTCTGTGTGAGCTCCCAGCCGCCCCTGAGCCTGCTCCACCGCCTGATACCCTGGTATGGAAGGTGGTGGGGACCCCTTCACCTGAGCCCCAGCTGGGGCCTCACACACCTCTCTGCTCACCCCACATCCAAAACCCCCTATCACTACTCTGCTCAGTTCCTGCCTCCGGCTGCTGGAACCCCAGAGCCTCACCCTTCCCCTGCCCCCTTGGGCCTGTAAGGCCTACAGGCCCCTCCTGGTGGCAGGTGGGAGAGCCCTGCTAGCTCACCCCAAGCCTCACCAACAGCCTAGGTGATCATTCAAGGGGGCCTGGCCCTGACACAGGGGTCACCTCCCAGGTAAGACCTGACCCACCACAGAGCCCCTCTGTCCACAGGGCCCCTTGTCCCTCACCAATGTCCTTGGCCTTGCGAGGGATGAGGCGCCGCTGCAGCCTCACCATCTTGATGGCGTCCAGGCGGATCTCCACGAGGTTGCTGAACAGCGCGAGCAACGGGGCCAGCGGGAAGGCGGCCACGAAGAGCGTGGTGAAGCCATACTGCATCACTGGGGGGGGGCGCGGGGGGCAGGGCGGTCAGCTGGGCCCCTGGGCGCTCTGCCCCCATCTCGCGCCCACACATTGATCTCCATGAACCCATCCCACAGGCTGAAGATGGCTGGGAAGCCTTATTGCATGACTGCGGGGTGCGGGGTGGGGTGGCATGAGGTGAGGGTAGGGGCGCAGAGTGGGAGTGGTCAGCGGGCCCTACGGAGCCCCGCCCCCGCCCCGCCTCCACGCACTCATCTCCATGAACTCATCGAACAGGCTGAAGGTGGTGACCGGGTCCAGGAGGTAATTCCGCTGCCACTCCTTCAGCTCGGGGTCCGTGGACAGGGGGCCGAACTTGTAGGAGCGCCACTTGTTTCGAATCCACCTGGTGGGGACAAGTGGCGTGGGTGGGGAGCGGCTGGGTCCTCGGGGCAGGAGGCATGGGGTCCTCAGCCCCCTGAGGGAGGCTGCGAGGGGCGGGGCTCACGGGCTCAGGTACTCCACGCAGCTGCTCAGTGTCTGTTTCAGTCCCATGATCACGGCCATCTGCACGAACAGGTCCATCATGCAGCCGCTGAGATGGCACTGGGGGAGGGAGGGGCGTCTGCTGGGGCCATGGTCCCTGGAATGGCTGCCGCCCCCCACTTCTGATGCCTCTCAAGCCTCCCCCTGGGGCTGGGGACTTTGGGAGTGTGGCCACAGCATGGGACAGGGTGCTGTCAGCTCCAAGC